CCAAGCACCTGCAGCTCCACCAGTTGGGCCCCGAGTTGCTGCTCTGCGCGCTGCTGACTCAGTTGTTCCCCTCCGTAATAGAAGAGCTAGGGATGGGGCTTGTGAGGACGGGTTTGCGGGGCTTCTAGGGGCGGGGGATATCCTGGGAGGCGGGGACGAGGCGGAAACGAGGCGGAAACGAGGCAGGGACAAGAGCGGGACTTCCCAGGGGAAGCAAGAGACAGATGCCACCTCCTGAATGTACCTGACTTGACAGCTCCTCCCACTGCTCCTGCAGCTGCCGGTTGTGTTGCTCCTGTGGACAGGGTCGAGGGGACAGTCCCAGCTTCTCCGAGGCCCCGCCCTCGTCGCAGGCCCCGCCCCACCCAGGGCCCCGCCCCCACCAGGTCCTGCTTGCGCAGCTCCGCAGCCTCCAGCAGTCCGCGCGCCCGCTCCGCGCGCTCCCGTGCCGCCTCTTGTGCCTCCCCTCGCAGGGCCCGCGCCGCCTGGCTTCGCCTCCGCTGCAGGCTGCAGAGGGGAAACAGGCGGTGCCACCGCGGGAGGCGGCGGTGCTCAGACTCCCGCAGCCCCGGGGAAGGACCAGCCGCGGGTGGGGCCGAGAAAGTCCACGTCGGGTCGCCGCACGCTGCCCTTCGTGGGTGCCCTGAATAGATCGCCCCTGTCCCGACGGCCTGGAGCAGAAGTGCGGGCCCGGGCGGGGAGGAGTAACCGACGGGTCGGTCGGACGCTCTGCGAGACCCCCGGGGCCGCGGTCCGCAGGATTGACCCCGGCGCGCCCAGCCCGCCCGGGGGAGCCGCGCTCCCCGACACCTGCGCTCGCACTCGCGCAGCTCCTGCAGGCGCCCGGTGAGGCTCTCGCTTTCTGCCTCGAGCCCGCGCACCAGCTCCTCCAGCTCCTGCTTCCGCAGGCGTCCGTCGCGGTTGTCCTTCTGCAGCTGCAGCAGCAGCTCCTGCGTCTCGGCCATGGCTCTCCGGGCTCTGCCCCGCCGCCTCCCGCCTCGGGGACCCGGCCCGCGGCCGGCGTCACAATGGGCGGCAGGGGGCGACGTAGCGCAGGCCCCGAGCCCGGCGGGACGCGGGTCGGGCAGGATCCCACTTAGTGCGTCATTCGAAAAAATGTGATGGAAGAGCCACGATCGGATCAATAAGAGATTAATAAAATATAATGCCTAATGCAGAAAAGTTGAGGCAAGATTGGTTCCCCCATATTGCAGACGGCCACTTGCAAACTGATCAATCTCTCTTGTGGAAAATACTTGGAAATATATATCAGGATCCATAAATATGTTCATATATTTTGACCCAATTATCCTACTCTTGGGAATTTATACCGGGAAGAACAATTTTAAAAACCCAAACACTATGCATTAAATGGTTCATTAAAGTGGTTACAGTAATCACAAAAAGGAAACAATTGTAATTATTAAAATGATCTATTCGAATATTATATGGCATGCACAGAGGATGTCTAGCAAAAACAATATGATTTAGCATTTACGCTAAAATAACTACGATTATAAAGTACATGGGCAAGACCTTTAACGAGAACAGGAGAAAGACAAGCTATTTCATTATTTGGCGAGATTGTACGCGGGCCTGGGAAGGGTCGATGGCGTGGCGGGGGCTGGCGGCCGAGTTCCTGCAGGTGCCGGAGGTGACGCGGGCCTACACCGCGGCCTGCGTCCTCACCACTGCTGCGGTCTGGAGCCAGGCGGGTGGGCGGGTTGTCGCCACGGTTACAGCCTGGGAGGGGCGTCGCCATGGTTACAGCCCCGGGGCGGGGCTCGCCTTGGTTACG